TTGCTATGCAAATTCTGTAAAATTAACTGGTCTTTTATACTTGAGTAGAAAATATTATCATCTTACAAAACATCTTCAGTATGTGTCAGTAACCATGGGCAACAGACCACAGAATCACAGAATGGGTCTGGTTAGACAGGACCACAGTGAGTCATCTGGTCCAGCCTCCCTGCTCAAGCAGGGCTGTCCTACAGCATGTGGCACAGGATTGTGTCCGTCAGTTCTTGAATATCTCCAGTGAGAAAGACTCCAGAGCCTGTCTGAGCAATCTGTTCCAGGGTAGAGTCACGCACACAGTAAAGAAATTCTTCCTCATGTTCAGGTGGAACTTCCTGTGCTTCAGTTTCTGCCTGTTGCCTCCTATTCTATTGCTCAGCACCATGAAGAAGAGCTCCATCCTCTTGAAACCCTCCCTTCAGATACTTACAGACATTGATGAGATCCCCTCTAAGTCATCTCTGAGAGCCAGCTCCTCGGCCTGTCCTTTAAAGAAAATACACACAATATTTCTCTTTCTCTCCCACAAATTCTCTTAGATGTTAGTTTATCTTGTTATAGTACAGGCTTATGCATCATCTCCCATCTCAGACCTGTCACTACCCATCACTACAGTGAATATTCCCCCTGGTCCATTCTTTCTATGACCCATCTCAATCACAGTTCCTGCCAAGGAGGTCTCTTAGACTTCTCTTCCTCAACTGCCTAAAATATATGAAAGTCGCAATACCTGGGGGCTTTTATATTTGTTAGTAAGATATGAAAGCTTGCAGTGAAAGAGTATCATCCCACCACCCCATCCCACTCCCCCCTCTTTTTCTTTTCCTATTAAAGATGCAGCCATAGGAACTGGGGAGGAGAGCTAGGAATGTCACATCTTGAATAGTCAGTACAGAGTTGCAGGAAGCTCAGTAACATTAATTCTGAAGTAACAGCACACAAAGGGGGGAAAATATCTTAAGGGTCAAACTAATGGACTTAGTCTAAGCAATCTTGGTGGCACTGTTGAATGAAAACCTCTGTTTAGTAAGTAGTATGATCAAAAATAGCAAGAAGTTTGAATCAAGTAAGAACAAGTCAGTGAGTTATATGAAAAATATTCTAGGGACTTTCGATCAATTGTTGGAACAGTTCTGGAATATTCAATATTCTCTCAGATTTTCACTTTCAAAGAGGCTTCACTGCCGTCCTGAAGTGTAAGAGAAGATTTTTCTTCAAAGACACTTATGCCCTCCTCTAGGGAAGATTCAAATGAGTGGACCTGGATAGCTTTGAAAACAGAACAACATGAGGGAAACCAAGGAAAGGATAAGGGAATGAAAGAGTAAAGGGAGAAGATAAAGAACTTCTTTCTGTTTTTCAAATTTTAAAAGCCCAAGAGAAATTACTTAGGGAAATTAAAGAGAGCAGATTAAAAACAGACAGAAGGAAACACTTTTTCACATAATGTGTGGTTAAAACTGCAGAAAATATAATTACCACAGGAAGAATTACAGTCAAAAACTCAGCAAGATTCTGACGGGTCTGCAGATGTATAAGGATATCAAACATATCAAGAGCAATTTAAAGCTGCTGGAAGGCACATGTATTTCTTCAGGGAAACTGTCCAAGCATTTCAAAACTGCACAGACATGTGCTAATCAGAGTGAGATACAAAGAACAAGGTCTCCGTGAGATAATGCATCTACAGGATGCCATTAAAGAAATGTCACCTCCTCCTAAATCCTTTGCATTCATTCTCTCTCCCTCCCTTTAAAGAAACAGCACAGAAAGGGACAATATCAGCCCCACTGAAAGACCATTTTGTTTAGGGTATTGTCTGAGCTGAAAAGGTGTCTGCCAGCCATCTCCCCAGCACGCTGGCATTTCAGCAGCCTTCAGAGTGTCCCATGTATCTGGAAATGTATATGCGCCTTGAAATTTATATACCTGGTTCTACAATTAGCTGGATGCTTTCTAATTTTATGAGCTCAGATTGTTTTTAAAAGCAGAAAGCACCATATGCAGTATCTCTGTAATTTCCCATCTTGCTTTTTTACATGACTAAGTAGTCACAGTAATGATGCTTGTTTCTTTTTATGTTACATCATGTTAACTGTACCTGCACTGTCATGTGTCAGAGAAAAAATCTAAAACTGTGAAGTCTTTTTCATTCAAATGAAACAATTTGTCAACAGCACAACTGAGTACAAATGACGTCAAAACAGAGGGGAGTGTTATAAGCAACTTAACAGTAGCATTACTCTGATGCTGAATTTATAGCCTTCCTAAACAATACACTCCAGTGCATTTTTTTTCTAGGATCTCTTTTTCCCCCAGATTTATTTACATTTCCCCTCTGTTATTTACATCCCATCCACTAAGCAGGAAGAGGTTATTCCCTTCCTTTTTGCAGCTTCCTTGTATGTATTTCAACATGCTGCTCTAGTCCTTGAACTCCAAATTATATGACAGTAACGCTGACACCAGAGATTGATGTAACCTTAGCAGTCAGATGGTACTTGGTATACAAAAAAAAAAAGAATTTTCTGAAGCATAAGGAATGTCACAAACCTAAGTCTGGCACCATTGGCTTGAAACTCTGAAATGCTAATAATAACGCTGGCTTAGGGTTATTATTATTGCAGCTTCTACTGAAATGCACAGTTGCTGTTATTATGGCTTCCATTGTCTCCAGTGTTAAGATCAGAAGAGTCCCATGTCCTCTCTCCTTATCCTCCTTTCAGTGACAGAAACCTCTCCATGTTATCTTTGTTCAAATCACTTCAGAATCTTCCTAACTTCTCTACTTCATATCCAGGCTTGTAGAGATAGGCTGTATGTAACAGGGGGGAGATAACATCCTCTATAGGGACTGTTTGATAGGTTACACAGCACTGGCATCACATCTTTGCCTTCAAATCATCCCATGTTCCTACACTGAGACTTATAGCATGGCATTTCACTGATAAAGAATCAATGAAAAAAATATCATGTGGTGCCATTAATCCTCACATCAGTCATCTTCTTAGAGACAAAATCTCTCTCACTGTCTGCCTTTGAAATTGTAAAGAATAAACTTAGGAATAAAGTAATACATCTGACATAATACAAGAATAGCAGCATTAAACTACATTTGACTCCCTAGAAACCATCTAATTCCTTTGAAAACATACAACCAGGAAAGATAAAACTAATTTCTACTATATCTTGACAAAGCTTAACAAACTTTCCCTGAATTTTCAAACCAAATATTCCTTTCAAAGACAAGATGGGAGAAAAATGTTATTATTTAATAGTAAACTGTAAGAACAATCTTTTAAGTGTACAATGCTCTTGACAGCTCTCTAAGAACCCAGTACTAAAATCTGAATTTACCTTTCAAGTAATGACTACTTACCATAATATTTCTTCTCCTGTTTAGTTATTTGGTTTTGAATAGATGAAGATACAATCTACACAGGATCAAGAAAGACGGTGAAAAATGTACAACGAGACAGTTGCTGCATTCCAAATGTTCGCTACAGGTAATATATCTTTGCCAGGAGATAAAATATGTAAGCAGCACGAACATTAGCTAGATAGGGACAGAGGAACACTGGAGGACTGCATATATGCAGAGGCAACAGAATTAGTTGAGATGAATAACAGGATTGTGATTAGGATATGCTGGAAGTACGTTAAGGTTTTTTGTACAGGTTGGACTAATTTTTTTTTCACTTACCAGTGATGGAATTATGAAATACTGTTGGCCATATATTTTGCTGATTACACAACGTATTATCTCTGATTGAAAAATACATAAGAAGAATGAAGTGACCACTTTTTAATGTATAATGGAAGGAACAGAGTAAGAAACATACACTAAAGGGATGGCTGAAGCAACACAGAAATTTCCCATGGATACGTACCAACTGACCATTCAAAGAAACTCTTGGACAGCTTTAAACAACCTTTAGCAATTTTCTTTTCATTACAGTGTAACAACACACCATCTGAGCCACCATTACCCATCCCCTCACCAGCTTGTCTTGGCTCTGCACACTTCCCATGTGCTCAGCAGAAGCCAGCTGATTGGCAATGGGGCAAGGCAAAATATATCTCAAGTTTTCCGCACTTTCACAAGATTATAATCTTGTGAATGATGTGCCAGCTTGCAGCCACCTTTGAAAACTGCCCTGTCCCATCTCCTTACTCTCAAATATGATGTTTCAGCAACCTCTTTGTTATCAGAACTTCCATAATATCTTCTAAACAGGTGAATACATGAAACTTCTACCTACGCGAGTCCTGGTAATTCATTCTACTGTCTTCACAGTACAAGACACACAGGAGAGGTGACAGTCTCCGTTTTACCAGTGAAGCAACAGTTTTACCCCACTATGTGTGCAGCAAGGACATAGCTGTATAATTAAAAATCCACAGTCCACACCCTTAGTCTCAGTAAATCCCCTATTCATACAAAATTGCAAGAAATTCCAGTTTCCTCACTGGAATTGGAGATGCACTGGTGGGGGATCCACACTTTGAATGCCAGAATGCTCTTCCGTCAAGGGTCACGCACCCAAGGAAACCTTTCAGCATGTATCACAGCTATACTGGAAACTTGTTTTTCATCACACTTTCGTTAGAATATCTTTTTTTTCCCCTTTAATTTACCATTGACATAACAGAAAATTTCTGTAATGTAAATGGTAATTGGTAAAAACTGTCATTTTATTCCACCTTTCCTTTTCCAATTTTATATTTATGAATGGTAGTTCCAATTTCATTATCTTCTTGCTCTCTGAACCCTACCAGCGTTGAAGTAATTTTTGCTGTTTCACATTTAGCCCCACGTAAAATTGTAGTGTCAATTTATGGGGATGGCTCCAGTCCCTGTGTCATAAACAGGATCTCTACAAGAGGACAAGTCTAATGTGACACTGTTACAATGAAATAAAGCTACAGGACGAGGAGAACTAAATTTTCAAACAAATAATAACTTTTTTTCTGACCAAGTTTGAAAAGGTTAATAAAATTACCTTGTCAGCTGGGATTCAGCTCCAAGACTGCCCAATATACCATCACTTAGAGCTACTGCCATCCGTTCAGGCTTCTTCACTTTACCAGTAGTGACCTCAAGTCAATTTTTAGAAGCAGTTAAGAAGAGATTCCCTTAAAAATGTTGTGAATTGCAGAGTTTTGATCTCAAAATATAGTCAAGAATTCACAAAGTTTTAACAAAATTGGCTCAAAGCACATGTCAATTAAAATAGATTTACATCTAGCATATTATGCTGCACTTCTAAATGCTGACTAGCTTAATACTTAACACATTATGTGGACTTGTTGGATCAGATTATTTGGTGAAAGTGCAGAGGCAACTTGACTTTCAGACATTACCGAATTTATCCTTACCTGTTAAGAGATTTCACTCCTTTTCCAGGTACCTTGGAAGCAGGTATTTTCTGTGGTTCTCTTATAGTCTCCCACCCTGTGAGGAAGACGTTACCAGAAGTGGCTAAGGAATTTTAACCTCAAGAAATTTATAAGGATTTTCCAGTGACTAATCTGGTCTTCACTTCTGCTGTGCTCACTCTGCACTCTTTCGTTAACCATTAACCACGTGCAGCGCTGTGTTCGTCAGCTTTATCAGCCGTTCTTTCTCAACAAGCGAAAACCAGGAAACCTGTGAGCTCATTCAGCGGCATTTCACATGCAGCGGGATGGTAGGAACATGGGACTTTTCACTTACTCACAGAGCCTCAAGTGTAAAATCCAACGATGCGAGGGACAGAGCGAGCCAAGACCGCCGGCAGATACCGCCCTGCCGGTTCGTGGCCGGGCAGTTTCGCTGACGAGAATGTCCACACAGCGAAGGTGTCTCACGGGTCCCACTGAGGAAGCGAGCGGGACAATTTGGGACACCCCAGAGCCAGGTCTTCTGGGGCAGCGGCTGCCAGACTGCCGGGAGGGGAAACCCTCTCGGTCACAAACCGGAGACATGTTCCCCTTGGCGGGGCAGGGGAAGGGAAGGGACGGGCACCCCACTGCCAGCCATGCGCCAGCGCTGCCATGTGCAGCAATCGCCCCGCCGGGGGCAACCTGCCTACACTTAGAGCCGTTTTACAGCAGTTTCACAAGAGACAAGGCCCAGGGTGCCGCCACAAAACAAAGGAAACCAAACCGAGGAAAAGCCCCAGAGCCGCACGTTTAAGGCCGGTCCGTGCGGGGCGCCCTCTGATGTGCACTGCTGGGAGGCTGTTCGGCAGCAGGATGCCCAGACACGCTCCAGGACAGGATGCAGCCGGGCTGGGCACCAGCATTTGATCTCATCAATGCGTATAAATATCTCAAAGGGGGGTGCCAAGAGGATGGCACCACTCTTTTTGGTGGTGCCCAGTGACAGGATGAGAAGCAATGGCCATAAATTAAAACACAAGAAGTTCCACTTCAACATGAGGAGGAGCTTCTTTATGTTGAGGGTGGCAGAGCTCTGGAACAGGCTGTCCAGGGAGATTGTGGAGTCTCCCTCTCTGGAGACATTCAAAACCCACCTGGGCACGTTCCTGTGTAACTTGCTCTAGGTGACTGCTTTGGCAGGGGCGTTGGACTCGATGATCTCCAGAGGTCCATTCCAGCACTAACAATTCTGAGATTCTGTGATTGGCTCTTCCCATTCTCTCCCTGCTTGGGCAGCAGTGGGTGGCTGGGTAGAGCCTCATCATCTATTCATGTGCCTCCCAGATGTGGCCCACCCATCCCAGCACAGTGCTGTCCCTCCAGCTGCACCACAGGAAAACAGCTTTCAGTGAGAGAAATTACCAGGCTTCAGCAGGTGCACACCCATTTCTGCTTCTCAGCTCCCACCCAGTGGCAGGAAAAGCTGCATTTTATCCAGGAGAAGCTTCACAACACGTTCCTGTGCACTGCTGAACAAGAATGCCCAGAAATACCCATTTATGCGCAACTTTTAGGATGCCTGTTCCAGACTTAACTGGAGTAGTACCTATTCCCAGTTTTGAGCTCATTTTAGAATATAGGGCTTAGTCCCTGTCATTTATCACCCTGTTTTGGGGCTGAATGAAGCCAGACACTACTCGAACAACTTCAGGGCTCTGACAGACTTGGCTGTGCTGTAGTAGCCCCCACACACCCAGCAAACGATCCTAGTTGGCAGGCTGGAGAGGGGGATGGCACGCAGGGACAGCTGTTGCATCCCATTCCTTGGATGGTAGGAAGCATATTCGATACTGACATGGCTGTTTCTCCAAGGGCAGCCTTAACCTTAATTCAGTCAACGGGAGCCTCCAGTTGATTTTAGAGCAAGTTTTCTTGGTCTTTCCTCAACTATTAGTGCTACCTTCAGTTGTTTCTGTATGAGCCAGCCCTCATGTGGGTGCATGCACTGGATCAGATCAAAAATCTCTCTACCCCCTGTCTAAGACTTAGTAGTGGACATGTAGGGAAGATGTACGTATATATGGGCTGTTAAGTAATGATTCTTCCCCTAAAGACTGCTCTTGGCACTTTTTGGCATGTGACCAATGGTCTTCCAGAGTGAAAGATGGTATTTTTGTAGTTAACATCCATCAACTGAGTTTTCTCTATCATGTTTAAAGCCGTTTGTGAACCTATGGGAACTTTTCCCACATGCTAAATTCTGTGGTGGAGAATACTAGAGATTCTGTGGTGGAGATTACATGAGCAATCTGTGATGAAATATTTCTGGTTTTCCTGAACTGGGCCTCTGCATACTTCAGGTGACTCTGAGCTATGTATTGAAAAATATTGTAATTAAATGTTTTATATTCTGCTCAGCTGCCTATGTTTATCTATGTCTATTATACTACCCTCACTCTTTGCTTTCTAGTTGACTGAACTGTCTTATTATATTTGATTGTTCCTCTGACCCTCATGTCTGCTCTTCCATTTCTACTGCATCCTAAATCTTTCTTTCTGCTCCTGTCACAGGAGTTCTTGCTCTCTTATACTTTCAAGGACAGCATCTTCTAGGATTTTGTTAGTGAAGGTATGCATACAAGCAAGAGGATGCAATTCCTTTCTAGGCACACGCTCTTCTCTGAAACACTGTTTTCTAGAGCAGGTCAAATGCTTGTTCCAGCAATTGATAGTAAATATTTTGAGGTAAACTTCATAAGCCTTCTATGACTTTCATCCTTGTTTAGCCAGCTGTCTTCACAAAACATGTTTTCAGTCTTTAGTGAAAAAAACCCACACCCACCAATTCTATACTTATCAAATTGCATTCTTCCATCACTAGATCTGTTGTGGAGTTATTTTTCAAGAAGCTCTAATCCTCAGAGCTTGTCTTGTTTCTATATTTGTTTTTGCCTTTGGACCTGATTTGAAGAGTACTACGGCAACCTGAAAACTTGGAGTTGCTAAGTCACACAGAGCATATTAATATCATGTTAATATATTCAGCAGCAGAGACTAATGAGAGAAGTCTGAGGGAAGCAGAGAGGAGACTGACCCTAAGGGACTGGTGAGCAGCACTTGGGCATCACAGCACTGTCTTCACCATGTTCCTAGTCACACCCAACCCATCACTTGGACAATACTGCCAAAGAGTAATTCTTTTCTCCATTCCACTTCTTTCCCAGCTCAGCTAAGCTGAGCTGAGCCTCAGAGCCCATAAACCCAGGCTGTACTTTGGCTTGGAGCTGGCAGCTGTTTGTAATTTCACCTTCCTGTTCCCCAATTGTGGTACCAGAATCTTGCAGCCAAGAGATGGAAAACACCTGATTATAGCAAAGCACACAAACCTGTGTAACCAACAAGTGTTGCAAGACCCTGTTAATCACAGCTTAGCGTCTTGTGTGAACCAATCTTTCTTGCTAAAACATCTGCTAGTATCTGTGTGAAATGATGAGCAATTAGAGCAGAATGTCTTCAGGCTAAGAGTTTGCAATATGAGTGTTACAGAAGCTAATTCATTTTGAAGTCTCAGATGTGACTAATCACAATATCTAATGAAAATCATATAGCTCTTGGACATACTTGTGATATATTGGGTTTTCAAATACTAATTAAATTGTGCTTCAAGTTAAGGAAGGAAGACATAAGATTTAGGATGCAGAAGCAACCCAAATTAAGGCAATATGGGTATTTCAAAGGAAGATACTTTTCTCCATCTGCTGACATTGTTACTGAGGTTTCCAAGATGTCAGACAAACAAATGTTCAAGACACAAAGCAATCTACAGACTGGACATTGACAAAACAGATTAAAGCATTACTAAATTAGCAATAACAAAGACCCAATGTCTTATGAAGTGCTACTTACTTCAAGGGAAATGGCTCATTCTGGGGATGTTTTTCTCATCTGGTTTTACAGGTACAGGCTGAAGCAAAAATTTAGTGTTAAAATAATCCTAACTTAGGAGTTCTCTGTGTCAGGATGAAAGTGCTGGAGCCACATGCTGTAAAACACCAGTCTGATAGGAATTTACTTATAGGTCCAAACGCATTTGACCTGTTTTGCCAGGTAAACTTCATGCTAGAATGCTTTATGTGGCATCATATGTCTGATTATGTCTGTTGTTCTGCAACTAATGTGAAAGCACCACAAACCTTCTATCAGGAAAGTAATTCAAATTTGTACCACAAACCCACTTCTGGCCCAGACTAATTTTGCAATGGTGACGTTCTGATAGCACAGGTACCTGCTGCTAATGTCAGGGGCCAGATTTCACCGGTATCTTGTTGCATTTGCCACACTGGTGTCAAACATGCAGACAGCACTACCCTGCCACTGGGCAGTCTTACCAAGATCTTCTTATTGTGTTGGGTTTTTTTTTAATGCCATCTTCTTGTCTGTTCCAAATGCAATATATACAATAAAGTACGCTGAGGTTTTGGGGTTGATTTTTTTGATTTTGTTTGTTTGGGGTTTTTTGTTGTTTTGGTTGTTTTGTTGTTTGTTTTTTTTTTTAGAGGTTTGTGTAGAATTATAGTCCTTGACTTTTAATGATTACAGAGGGGGCCAGTTTCAATGTTAGCATGGCTTCCTTTAAGCAAGAAATAGGCATCTTCAAACCTTTTGGAAGCAAGCAGTCCCCTTCATTAACTCAGTGCAAAAGTAACTTGCTGTGTGAAGGATAGTGAACTCTAAGCACTTTAATATGCATCTCCAGATAGAAAAAACTTGGCAAATATCAAAACCCAAAGGAAGTACTCTGCCTCTATGTGCTGATGAATTTCATAATGCTAACATACTAACTCATGCCACAGTTTAGTATAATTTATATGAAGATGAAGCATGCAGAAGTAGTCAGAGTGTGACAAAGTCTTGAATGCATTTGATGGCTTCTATGGATTAGCAAGGCAGAAACAGGAAAGGATTGTGTCCAACTAAAAAGTGAAATATTCCTAACCTTCTGTTATTCCATCTACCAGAAGAACAACCAATTGCCCCTCGCCCAACCCAGATTTTTTAAGGAAGAACATATTTCGTGAAGATGTGCTTTTCCAGACAAATGCTGATAGACCACTCGAACACAAGGATTACAGGCATGAACAACTGCTTTCTGAAAGCACTATTGAAAAGTTTTCTGATCCAACAGCTATCAGGCCAACAAAGCGTTT